TGCGAACCGCTTCACATGCGGAGTAGAGTTGTAGGTGCTGGAGATTTGCATGCTCTTACTCACACGCGTGTTTTGCTGCTCTCTGACTCACATGCAGCAACCGGCTTCAAAACATCAGCCTTCCCTACACCTCTTTCTTGCCAGAAAGTGTGTTCGGATTGGGGGGGGCACTGATTCTTTCTGACTCCATGAAGCAGTCATTCCTCAAACCAAAAATCCCACTCCCAGCAGGGTGCATTTTTAGGTCATGCCCAGGACCAAGAGTCTCCTATCTGTTCCCATAAGCTCTTGCCCTTACCTCCTAGGCAATATTTCTGCCTGGGCTGGTAGCAGCACATGGCAGCTTTTATATGCCTAGTATTCAAAGTGACTGCCCTCATCAGGCACCTGGTAGCTGCCTGCCTGTGTCCTGCTACATTTACATATTAAGAAATCAAAGATCTAGTAAAGTTGGCATCTCTTGAAAAATTTCAGAAGCATTTGGCTAGTATCTCATTCTTCATTTCTCATTACAAACAGGGTGTCTCTTTTCTCTTACTATGAATAACATGTATGTAAAAATAGTATCTTGGTTCCTTAATGTTCCGTTGCTGTCCTACTTATTCCAAGATAACAGGTAGATTGTAATCGTGGCATAATTTTTCTTAAATTCTGGTGCATGGTTTTTTTGGACCAGACCCTCTAGGAAGGACAGAGAAAAACTGCCTAACCTGGGGAATATATTGGACCACAGTCTCTGTTACTGTTTTCTTTGTGTAGTTATTTTCACCAATTCAGTGTGGGCATAAAATTCTGCCATTTTGATTTGTTAGCATTTTACACCTATTTTTCACTCTATAGAGTCTGATCCACATCAAATCAGACCCACTGTTTGAATTTGGGAGTTTTGGTTGTCCAGTTGTGATCAACAACTTGGCAACAGCACCAGAGCAATTCTCTGCTATAGTTAAGTCTTTGACCAGGCACACTAATAATATTAATTATCAAATTTTTCCCTGACTGATAGTTGGATTAAGAATCTAATTGGAAGATGTTGTACAGCTGCTAGATCAGAAAAGGTTATTCCACGTTGGGAGCAGGACTACCATCTTCAACCCATTGGAAAACTTGGATTGTTTTATGAGTATCTTGAAATGGGTAAGGAGCAGTTCAAATCTGATGTATATGACATTCTCTAAACATGTTTTAAAGAGAGTTTTTGGGTAAATAATGATTTTATAGATTGCCTTGTTTTAGAGATGAAAGCTTGTCTGAAATGATCAAAGATAGATGTTTCTATTAATCTAAATCAATTAACTGTTTGAAATTGTCAAAGATAGATATTTCTATTAATCTAAATCAACTATCTAAAAAGACATGACTTTACTAGCAGTGGTTTATATGAATGGATTTGTTGCCTCTTCATCTCTTACCAATCCTCCTGAAAGTGTTTTAGGAGCGAGGACGCTATCAGCTTCAACCCCTGTACAACATCAGGTTTCTATAGCACACTAATTGGAATTAGGTCCACCTACTTATCATAGGTTTTTGAGAGTTCACAAAACTCCAAGTTTGTTTTGGACCAAGCATACTTTCATACTGTTATAATTATACCTATTTCTGCACCACACACCAACAAGTAATGCCTATTCATTCTTATGGAATCTTCATTTTTGGCTTAGAAATAGTAAATCCCACATTTGGGATGATGACCCTTGAGGTCCCTTATAAACCTATTATTTTGTTTTTCTAATTTAGGCTTTACAATATAGCACTTAGTTATTAAATTCCCAATCCAGTAAGGTCAATAAGCATATGAAAGAAGCAGATTACTCATATTTAGGAGTTATACCTTTTCAACTTTTCACAAACCCAGCACTCTTTCACCGTTTTTTAAATTTTGGTAGATTTCCTTTTCTTTTGGGATTGTGATATACTTTTCTATATATCTGATCTCACAAGATATCCCACTTGAGGACCAGATTATGTACCTGGTAAAAAAAAAAATCCTGTCTCTCTGATGGTGTGAGTGAATACATACACATGAAAGTTAAAGAATAATTATCCTATATTTTGTGTCTCATTGTAAGTTATACAGTTTGGATTCGTCACTCTGTTTGTGGCATCATTCCCTTTGGCTCCTCTTCTGGCTCTTATTAACAATTTGTTGGAAATACGAATAGATGCCTGGAAGATTACAACCCAGTTCAGACGCATGGTGCCACAGAAAGCACAAGATATTGGTGCATGGCAGCCAATCATGCAAGGAATGGCGATTGTGGCCGTAGTAACCAATGTAAGTACATAGGTGACAATTCCAAACAAAAGTTTTGGGAGTAACTCTTAAATGTTACTTCCAGTTTAGGAGGTAAAGTATCAATAAGTTTCATGCTGGAGCAACTAGAGATAAAGTGTTCAAAATTCAGAATTTAGGACTCTAGCCTAAGTTACTTTTCATAAAGAATGTGGATGCTTTCAAGAAATCTAAGTCATTTCACTTTTCAAGAAGATATCAAATTCTTCAGAAATCTTGTGTTCAAACTCATTCTGCAGTGGAAAAATACACTGCATCTCTCCTAGCTATACAGAACATACTAAATATAGAATTAATTTTCTGAGAATTTTCAAGTAAATGCATGCATTTTGAATAAATTAGGTTGTAATTAAACTAAGTTATTAAATATTATTGTTTCTAATTGTTCCAGTTATGTTTATGACTTCATAGTTAAGTTTGACTTAAAGCAGTTTTTCACTTAAAGCAGAGATTTAAGCTTCTTTCTTGTGTTTTAAAAGCTTCAGTGAATCCTCCAAATGACTGCACTTATCTTGTGAGGGCAGAATAAATTTTCTCAGAATTTGCAAATGAATCTGTTAATCAGTTTCAGTTAAAATTAGTTTAAATGGGTCCTTTACACATTTTAGCACCTGGTGCCAAACATTTTTCTCCCCAAATAGTCTTAATAATCAAATGCAGAGTCTTCAAACTTTCAGTATATTTTAAAACTCATTAACAGCTTAAACAAGTTTGGTGAAAAAGAGGATTAAGACATTTTAGAAGGCAGGGTAGATTCGAACCTAATAGGCTAAACCAGGGGTGCTCAGCCACTGGCCTGCAGGCCAAATCTGGTCCATGGAGCTATGACATCCAGCCCACAGAAATCTTCACGGGTCAGAAACATTGGCAGGTAGGGAGTAGTAGAACCTCCATGTGGCAGGGTTCAGCCCTGCCCGGGCCATTGCCACACAGTGGGATCAGGGCTGGATCCACCCGCTGTGCATCTGGACTGGACCAAGCTGTTCCCCACACATCTGGATAAGGGTCACTTAACTCTCTTCTCCCCTTCCCTCCCTTCCCACCCCCCCAGCCATCTGGATCAGGGCCTGGCTGTGCTCCATGCTCCCATGTGCTATGTGTACAGATTGGGGCCACTCCACCCTGCCCTGCCTCATGCATCCAGACCAGGTCTGGATTCCTCCCCAACCCCATGTATGCAGATCAGGGCAGCTGCCGCACTCCCCACCCTCCCCATGCATCTGTATATGGGGTGGGCTGCTTCTCCCTCCCCAACATGTTTGGATTGGGGCTGCTCTGCCCCAATATGTGTGTCCAGATTGGGGCCACTCTGCCCTGCACCCCTTGGTGGTCAGATCAGGTTCAGGCTCCATAACCCCACTAAAGCCAGATGGGGCTCTGTGATGTCATCCAGAGCCAGCCCACAGCTGGGCCTGGCACTTCTCATCCAGCCTACAGGGTAAAAAGTTTGGGCACCACTGAGTTAAACAAAGTAGATGGATATATAACACAAGCTTTTGTGGGCTGAAGCTCACTTCTTCACATGCTTTGAAAGGAAATGCTCAAAGCTGTGCATAAGAAGGAGAGAGAAATTTTAATGCAAAAGCAGAAGGAGCAGAGGGAGAGGAGAGGAAATCTCTTTTGCCAAAGAAGTATATATTATGAAGTATACAATGTGGTATATCAGCTTCTTCTGAAGACTAAACTCTGATCTCAGAAGTGTCCAGTGCTATTGCTATCTTTCTAAATGACTGCAATCTCCTGTTTCTCCCCTCAGCAGACTGAAGTTACATTACCCTCTCACATGGCTGTGATCTCAGAGTAGAATCATAGGGTCATAAGAAACTAGGGCTGGAAGGGACCTTACAAAATCTAGTGCTGCTCCCTGGTCAAGGCAGGTTCATCCCTGATTAAACCATCCCAGCAAAATGTCTGTCCAGTCTGCTCTTGAAAATTTCCCGAGGTGGAGATTTTACAACTTCTCTAGGGAGCCTATTCCAAAGCTTGACCAGGAAGTTAGGAAGTTCTTTCTAACTGCCAACACAAATTTCCTCTGCTGCAGCTTGAGTCCATTGCTCATAGTCCTATCCCCTACAGCCACAAGAAACAGTCTATCTCCATCCTCTGTATAATCACCCTTCAAGTATTTGAAGACTGTTATAAAATACCCCCTTAGTCTTCTCTTCTCCAGACTAAATACCCTAGTTCCTTCAGCCTTTCCTCATAAGTCTTGCTTCCCAAGCCTCTAATAGTTTTTGTTGCTCTCCTCTGGACTCTTTCCAGTCAGTCCACATCTATTTTAAAGTGTGGGGCCCAAAACTGGACACTACTCCAGGTGACACCTCACCAGTGCTGAACAGAGTAGAAGAATTGTTTCCCTTGATTTACATGTGACACTCTTGTTAAATACAATCCAGTATGCTATGGGCTTTTTTTGCAAGAAGAGCACACTGCTGGCTCATATTTAGCTTCTGGTCTGCTACAATAGACTCTACTGTAACCCTGAGGCCCTTCTCTGTAGTATTGCAGCCTTGGCAGTCATTCCCCCAGTCTGTTGTTATGCATACAATTATTCTGTCCCAAACGCAGGACTTTCAGCTTCTCCTTGTTGAATTTCATCTGGTTGATCATGGACTATTTTTTTCAGTCTATCTAGGTCATTCTGGATGCTAGCCCCATGATCCAGAGTGTTTGCAATGCCACCCAACTTGGTGTCACCACAAATTGACTAAGCATGTACTTAATCCCATCATCCAGATTATTAATAAAATGTTAAACAATATCAGATTCAGAACAGACCCCTGGGGAACCCCACTTGGGTCCTCTCGACTCAACATTGAGCTCAATGAGAGCTACTCATTAAGCACAATGATCCAACCAGTTACATAGCCACCTTCTAGTACAGATTCACAGATTCACACACAATTTCGGGATGGGATGGAAAGGACCTCATGAGATCATTGGGTCCAGCCCCCCTTCTCGGGGCAGGAAAGACTGCTGGGGTCAAATAACCCCAGAAAGGTGTGCGTCCAGTCTCCTTTTGAAGATCTTCAGAGTAGGTACCTGCACCACCCCCACTGGGAGTCTATTCCAGAGTCTGGTCCCATGAACCATACAGAAGTTTTTTCTTAAAACTAGTACTTTCATCTAGGCCAGGGGTTCTCATACTTTGTGCTACCGTGACCCTAAGTGCTGGATGGAGAGGAATTGACAGCTCACACGCGGCAGCTGCCACCGCCACATGCTGCTTCCCCACACCACCGTGGTAACCCCTGGGAAGTTTGTAGCCCCCTTTTAAGTTGCTCACGACCCTCTGGGGGGTGACAACCCAATTTGAGAACCCTTGATCTAGGCTGTATTTCCTTAGCTTGTTAATATGAATATGTCAAAAGCCTTGCTAAAGTCTTGCTAAAGTTAAGGTATATCACATCCACTACTCCCCCTCTCATCCACAGAGCCCATACCTTCTTATAAAAGGAAACCAGGTTGGTCAGGCATGACTTGCTCTTGGTGAATCCATGCTGGCTGTTCCTGACACCTTGTTCTTTTCTCAATGCTTCACAGAAGATTCCTTGAGGACATGCTTCATGATATTTCCAGGGATCAACGTTAGACTGACCAGTCTGTAATTTCCCAAATCCTTCTTCTTCCCTTTCTTAAAGATGGGTCTATATTTCCCTTTTTCCAAGCATCTTGGACCTCACCTGACCTCCATGAGTTCTCAAAGAGGATAGCCAATGGCTCTAAAACTACCTTAGCCAATTCCTTCAGTACCTGAGGATTCATCCCACCCACATAGGGGTTGGGGTGGCACAGGCACTAAGGCACATGCTTGACAGCCCAGACATCATGCATTTGAGGCCATAGCAGAAGTGCTCATGGTGCAATCCTGTCAGATTCCAATGAATCTGTGAATTCTACTAAAAACCTTGTCACAAGGGCATGGAAAAGGAAGGATCGCATCCAGCCCTGCCAACTTGCAAGGATCTGGCTTCTCTAAGTAATCTTTAACTTATTCCAGAAATCTAGGCTTCTTCCCTACTTTTGCTTCCAGCCATGCTCATCACTTGGTAGCTGATCCTATTTGTGAAGACTGAAATAAAAAAGCGTAATATACTTTAGCCTTTTCTGCACCAATCTTAACTAAATTGCCTTCTGTACTCCATAAGGGATCTACGGTTTCTCTGGTCTTCCTTTTTGACATACTTATAGAATCCCTTTGTATTGCCTCAAGTCCCTTGCCAGGTGCATCTTAAATCATGTTTGGCCTTCCTAATGTTCTTCCTGTATGCCCATAGGATGCTCTTATACTCTCCCCTAGTAATATAGCTCAGTTCCCACTTTTTGTAGGATTTTTTTTTGAGATTCAATTCACTGAAGAGATTTCTGTCCAAACAGGCTGGTCTTCTGTTGCACTTCCCATTTTTTCAGTGCTTCAGGATAGCTTGCTCTTGTGTCCTTAAAAGAACCGCCTTAAAGTACAGCCAGTTCTCCTGGACTCCTTTCCCCACCTCAGAGTGCCCT